ATCAACAAGCTTCCAGTTGCGGTCGCTCGCCTTCTTTATCTTGTCCAAACACGGACTCTAGCGCCTCCTTGTGTCCAATTGCGATCAGTATGAGAGCGAGTGAGAATATAAAAGGGACCCCCGCTTTACAAAGCGCAGAGGGCCCGGAGACTCAGGATAGAAATATAATGGAGATTTATTTCAAATGAAAATAAATAAATACAAATAGTATTTGTTTTATTTGTTTTTTCTCATATTAATAGTAGGAAAATACGTTTTGGACAAATAATTAGGCGATTTTACTTTCTGATACAAACTGTTTTGTTCATGTTTTTTTTGTTTTTATTAACGTAATATAAATATAAATTCACTGATGCCTCAAATCAATGAAATCAGTCAAAGATTATAAACTTAGGAAGAGAAGCAGCAGCGTGAGAGCTGCTGTTCAAGCAAGAACAAAGAATCTCAAATGTCGTTTTTGTTTTGTTTGTTTTTCAGGAATTTTTTTAAAGAAAAAAAAATTAATAAAAAATAAAACCTCAGAGCCGAGAAATCCGGAAACAAAACCACAAACAAGCTCATCTTTCTGCTATCTGCTCAGCTTCACTGAAAACACAGCTTAACGGTTAAATGAGCCGTTTATGATCATATTATTCTTATTAGATTATTAAAGCGCCTAATTTTAATTGTTTTGAAGGTTTTATAAATGAATATTTTAAGTAAAGGTATCTGTGCAGTGAGCTGTCAAACTGTGCTCTGAAAAATCTGTAAAAAATATTTTATTATTATAATAAAATATTTTCACATCTTTTATATACATTTTAAGTCTTGTATATTATTATTATTATTATTATTATTATTATTATTATTATTATTATTATTATTATTATTACTAAAAAATCGTGATCAGAGGCTAAATGATAGCATACGCCATAAATCGGGCCGCTCGTCGGAGAGCTTGCAATGATAAATCCTTTTTTCCTCTTTATTTTTTATTTTTTAATGAATATCAATATTTTGCAAAAGCCGCACAGAAAGAAGGGGTGTGAGGCAGAGGAGGCCAGAGCTGTACCTACAGCGGCGGTGCGGCCCGGCTGAAGGAGCGGGGAGCAGTGCGTAAGGACTGATCTCACGGCACTGACTTTCTAATGAGCTCTGAAGCGCTGACACACAGCCCTCCACGAGGGGTGGGTGGGTTTCAAACCATTACCACCGAGGGGAGCAGTGTGTGTGTGTGTGTGTGTGTGTGTATGTGCGTGTGTGTGTGTGTGTGCGTGTGAGGCTGGGGCTGGTGGAGTGAGGCTGCATGACAAATCTAATGTGACATGACACCCTTCTGTTTCAGTGTGCCTGTTAACCAGCGGCCGTCACACTTCCCCAATCAGCTGACTGCGAACACACAAAGAAAAAAAAATAACTTGTGTGTTCGCAGACTGCGTCTCAGAGGACGACGCGCCACGGCTGACAACATATCATTATCAAAAGTGCTCAATTATACGTTATATTGTAACATTCCACAGGCCCTCCTCCTCCCCCTCCTCCTCCTCACAGCGGAACCGCGTCCAGCAGAAGAGGAGGTGACCACACTCACTCAGGTTAGAGCAGCAGATGGAAGCAGCCCAGTGTCCTGTTATTACGGCGTGTGGCTCGTGCTTATCAAGGCCGAGCACTGTCCAAAATAAAGTCACGACGTGTTCAATAAAAGCATAGAGAAACCACAATAATATTATTAATAATAAAGAAAAACGGGGGGG